TAGCTGCTCCTGGGCCTGGTTGTAGCTGCTCCTGGGCCTGGTTGTAGCTGCTCCTGGGCCTGGTTGTAGCTGCTCCTGGGCCTGGTTGTAGCTGCTCCTGGGACTGGTTGTAGCTGCTCCTTGGCCTGGTTGTAGCTGCTCCTGGGACTGGTTGTAGCTGCTCCTGGGCCTGGTTGTAGCTGCTCCTGGGCCTGGTTGTATCTGCTCCTGGGCCTGGTTGTAGCTGCACCTGGGCCTGGTTGTAGCTGCTCATCACAGACAGCAGATCCAGCTCCTTGGACTAAACTCGACACTCCTTTATTGACTTTTATGATTTTTTTTTTTTTATTGAATAGTTTGATTTTAAAGCTCCCGTGAGGTGCAGTGTCCATCTGCACGTCTGCACACGGCAGCCATCTTGAATCTAATCTCATATGTATATGTATGTGTATATATATGTATGTATATGTATATATGTATATGTATGTGTATATATATGTATGTATATGTATGTATATATGTATATATATATATATATATATATGTATATGTTTGTGTATATATATGTATATGTATATATGTATATGTTTGTGTATATATATGTATATGTATATATGTATATGTATGTGTATGTATATGTATATGTATATATGTATATGTATGTGTATGTATATGTTTGTGTATATATATGTATATGTATATATGTATATGTATGTGTATATATATGTATATGTATATATGTATATGTATGTGTATATATATGTATATATGTATGTGTATGTATATGTATATGTATATATGTATGTATATGTATATGTATATATGTATGTGTATGTATATGTATATGTATATATGTATATGTATGTATATGTATATGTATATATGTATATGTATGTGTATGTATATGTATATGTATATATGTATGTGTATGTATATGTATATGTATATATGTATATGTATGTGTATGTATATGTATGTATACGTATATACGTATATGTATGTGTATGTATGTATGTATATGTATGTGCATGTGTATGTATGTATGTATATGTATGTACATGTGTATATATATATATGTATACATATACATATATGTATATATATATTTATATATATGTATATATATATTCATATATGTATATATATATATATATATATACACATATATGTATATATGTATATATATATATATATATATATATATATATATATATACATATATGTGTATACTGCTAGTTATCGGTTTACACTTTTCAGGTTTGTTGACGTTCATCACTGAGGTAAACCCGAATTAGAACTTCTTTTACTGTGGTTTTTTTTGTAAGGAGAGTTTACCACTCTGCATATGTCAGTACTTCTGTTCAGAACAAAGCCTATTACATGTAAACTCTCATCGTGAATAGACTGTGACCATGTAAGCAATACATTCTAATTATTTAAACTGAAAACAGTTCAGTCCTGTCAAAGAATTTTGTGCATGTAAACATCGCTTCAGATGTGTGACTGCAGACCGAACTGATCTCCAGTGTAAACTAAAGTGATTTTGGTGTAAAAGCCTTTAAACAGCAGCAGGATCAGGTCATCTCATTCCATGTTGTTGAAGAAATGGACATGTTTGAGCTGCTTGCTGTTTGTACCGACAGTTTTCAAGTGGGCGAGCGCAGTTGTTTCAGTGTGAACTCTGTCTTTAGCTTTTTAGCTAGTGTGCCTGTTTTGCGCGTGTCTAGCTTAGCGCTATGGCAGGGCAGAGGGTGCGGGCAGTTTGGTTCTGTTGACAGGGTGGGACGTGCCGCTTGTATAATGTTAGGGTAAACACGGGATCTTATTGATTTCTAATGCAGGTAAAATGTTGATGTTTATTCAAAGCAACTTCACAAAACACTTTAAGGAAATGTGTTTTACTGTTCGTTTCTTGTATTGTGTTTATCTGAAAATAACGTTTGTATCTGGCAGATTACGAGCCCCAGTCCATCTGCGATCATCTGCAGTACATTTTTGCACTCATGCAGAACAGCAACAGAAAGTATATCGACCCTTCAGGACTAGTCAGAGCACTAGGTCTGGATACAGGACAACAACAGGTAATGACACAAACCACTAGATATTCTTCAAGAGTCACAACTGGTTTCACACTTTGACACATATTCAGTGTTGACTTTGTTTTGAAACAATTTCTCTACTAATATTTTACCCAAAGAAATACATTTGCTTTAACTTTTTTTTACTTTTAGCCGGCTTTTTTCAACTTGTCTAGCTAACCTTTAGCTAATTTGAACTGGTGTCTTGAACCTTTTAGCTATTGTTCTGCCTTTTAAAGTTTTAACAACCTTATTTCAACTTCTTCAGCAATTTTTAGTAGCGACTTGTTCAGCGCCCTATTCTTTCCCTCCTCACAATATCGATATTTCAGCTGGTATTGGACATTTTGGTAACAGAAGGAATCACTCAATATGTCACACGCTGTGTACATACAATCAAACACTGTGTACATACAGTCACACGCTGTGTACATGCAATCACACGCTGTGTACATGCAATCACACGCTGTGTACATGCAATCACATGCTGT